GTTTTTCTATTCCCTGTGTAAAATTGTCTCTGTTAGAAATTCAGAGTTGCTTCTTTATGCTGAAGGCACCTTAATGGGTATAAATGGATAAGATATGAAAACCCCACTAGGAAACTGTGGAAATAATTCAAGTGAGAAATTCTGAGTACTTGACCAAGAATAATAGGAGGGATAACACAAAATATACCCAGTTAGCCAGCATGTGGAGATATAATGGATAGGCGTTGGTGTTGACTGGATGTCTTGGTGAGTGAAAGGAGAGAATCTAAGACAGGTCCCAGATTATAAATGATTGGTGGATAAGCAATTTTTTTTCAACTGAGACTCAAAATACAGAAGGTATAAGAGAAACAGCTGTAAGAAAGATATCGACTAGAACATATTTGAACATGTTGAGGAGCTGATGTGGAGGACACCTAAGTTGATTATATCTGAAGTTCAGAGAAGAGGTGAGGATTGGCTACAGATACCTTAGACTCATAAACACAAGCATAATAGTTTAATCCAGGACAGTAGATTTTTAAAAAGCAGAGTAATAAAGAAGAAACAAGCTTGATTTCCTCCACATTAAAAGCTAATCAATCAACAGGAACACTCTCTCCACCTTGGACTGGTATTTACTACACATGGACGCTCTTAAAATATCAATCAGGGCCTCTCTTGTGGTCTAGGGGTTATGTCTCAGCACTATCACAGCTATGGCCTGAGTTCGATCCCTGGCCAGGGAAGTGATCTACATGGCACAGCAGACCGCACCTGTCTCCCTGCTGTTTCCCTCAGCAGTGTATTTCAGTAAATTTGCCTGCTTTGCTCCCCACTCTGTCTCTGATGAATCTTCTCACCTCCCGCACTTCTGGCCTGTACCCCAGCTCTTCCATGCAATATATATGCAAATAGGTGTCTGCCCCCTTCATCATCTTCAGTCCCTGAGGCCCCTGGGACACAGGCAACTCCTAATGATGACTTTTCAGGCTTTGTACTTGATTTCTTCTATGGCACTTGATACCATTAGCAACTTCCTTTTTGAGTAGTTGCTCTTTTCCTATGTAGTTCATATAGTTAGTTATAGATTATAGTTAGTTGGTGATAATAAGCTCCTTGGCCTCCTGCTTTCTCTCTTTTTTTCCTGATCTCTGCCTTTAATCCTTGGAATTCACAGTGCTCCTGTCCTTATTCTACACTTTGCCCTTCATGTAAATATGTGCTGATTTCTACCAAGTTTATTGCCTCTATGTCTCTATTTCAGACTCTTATTTAAGCACTGGAACCACACTTTCCCTGCTGCTACCCCTCTCCAAAATACTGAGGGAACTCAAATTCAATCCAGGCTTTCTCTCTCTCTCTCTAAATCACCTATATTCCTGGTGGATTAACTGAATTGATTTTTTTTAAAGATTTATTTATTTATGCATACAGAATGGGGTCAGAGGTGTGCAGGGGCAATGAGAGGATTCACCAGAGACAGAGTGGGGAGCAGAACAGGCCAACTGACGAAATACACTGCTAAAGGGAGTGTCAGGAGAGGTCTGCCGCCCCTGTGCCATGTGGATCACCTCCAGGGCAGGGCAGGGATAGAAATCATGCTGAAGTGGCTTTAGCTTCTTAGTGCTATGCTTTAAACCACTGTGCCACCAGGGAGGACCCAACTGGATTGATTTTATAACATTCTCATCCCATCAAAATCCAGAAAGTGGCCTTCTCTTACCTCTATATTGACTTGGTTTCTAAGCCTAAGGTATTTAATCCTTCAATGTCATGTCCATTCCTGCTAGTTCACATAGTCAACATTTCCCCAGAACAATTGCTCATGTTACATCCATGCTTAGAATCTTTCAGCTGATACAGGTGAATGACCCAAAAAGATAGGGTGTGTATAAAAAATAGAATAACACTCAGCAATCAAGAAGTATAAAATCATGTCATTCGTGGCTACACGGAAGGAGCTGGAAGGAATTATGCCAAGCAAAATAAGCCAGGAGGAGAAAGGATGGTGTTATTTATCTGTGGAGTAGATAAGAATAGAGAAACCAAACAAAGGGTCAGACAAATATTAAAACCGACACTTGAAAGCTGATTATACATGTGAGGCATCCAGAGGGGGGAGGGGAAATGTGAGAATGAGGAGAACACAATAGTCTATGGGTGAAGACTATGGGTGCTTTGGTGGTGGGAGGGTTATGGTGATCACACTGTGGGAGAAATCCTATACCATCAAAATATTTATAAGGGTGTAAAACAATGACATGTCATTAAAAAACAATAAATCTTTTCAATCTTTTCAATTGCTGTCCATTTCTTAAGATAAGGTGGTTAAGATGAACAAAATGTCCCATTTCTGCTGGTCTAGGCAAGCCGACTACACTAACATCTTCCCAGAATTGCCCAGGCACCTTTCCATTATATACTGATATGTCTTCCTGGCAAGCTATTCATATATATCTGTCCAGATAGCTAATATTTAGCCTAAAACCCAGTTCTTTGTGTCCCTCTTTCATAGACTCAAACATGTCTCTCTTTTAGTTGAAACTGTGCATGGAGGGCAAAAAAGAATTAAACGGAAAAAAAAAAAGGAAGCTCACTCCAGCTTTAATAAGTGAGAAAGTTCACATACAGGGCTTGCCTTGAGCCTCCCCAGACATGCAGATTCAGTCACATGTATAGTCCATATGGTCTCAATAACATTACTTTCTCAATGTTGCATCTCTGAAGTGTTTCTTACCATAGAAACAAGGGGGAAATAGACATTGCAAAGACAGGGAGGGGCTGCAGGAGCCCTCCACTTGCCCTGCTCCAGGGTGAACTAGAGGTTACATCTTTTTGATGACCTTCTTCAACTCCACACATATATAATACAATCCTGTTATAGCACACAGCACATTTTATTGCAAGTCTTTGTTGATTTGCCAGTTTCCTTTTGTAGTCTGTAAGCTCCTTCATAGCAGGGACTATATTTTATTTATATTGGCTTTCTCAGCCTTCAGCTAAATGCCAACACACAAAAGGTACCCGGTCAGGAGTGCATGGCTCATGGTTGCTCCTCCTAGAATTTACACACCTGAAAGTGCCTCCCGTGGGGATCTTTCCCATAAGTTGTTTGATTGACTGATTGATTGATTGATGCATTCATTAATGATAGGGCACTTGATGAGCTTCAAACATTGAGGCTGTAAAAAAAAAACAAAACAAAACCAAGCATCTTCTTGTCTTTGAGAAAATTATTCTCCCAAAACAGACAGTGGCATTATTACAAGTTGGTTAGTCATGCTGCAGATGCATGCTGGGCAGATAAAAGAGTGATGAAGGCTGGAGCCACACACGCCAATGTGAGTCCTTTGCTGTAACCCCGTGGACTTTCATGAGCTGGATCTACTCTTCAGGATGGACCTTCCCAGTCTTCAGCATAGGAAAATTCTTTTATTTTTCTTTAAATGCCTTTAGCGGGTCTAATGAAGGCAGCTGGAAGCCAATGCTGCTGTAGACCAAAGCTGGCAAAGGCGTGCACAGAGACACTTATCTGAGGAGCGATGCCATGTGTGCAGACATGTGAGTAAGCATGATACAGGAGAGGCATCTTTGGGAATCATGGAACCTTCTCATCCTTGTTCTTCCCTAAGACCCCTAGTCACACAGGACTCCCTCTGCTCTTTCCCAGGAAGATAATCTCCCTTTTTTCTCTCCCCTTTCCAAAAACTCCTCTTTTCAAAAATCTGACACTCATTTACTTTATCAATGACCAATAATGAGGGCTTCTGAAGCATGGTGAGCAGCCTGGGTGTCTTAGTAACAACCTTGTACTCAGTTCCTGCTAGGCAACTCAGTTCCTGGTATGGATTCTGCTTCATGTTAGACCATGTACCGCCATGAGGCAGGATGAACCTGGGGGAGGGAGGTCCCATGACTGCTGACATTTTACTCAGCCCTGGGTGTGCAACTATACAATTCACTTCTTGCTGTGTAGTCACGTGCTATCTGGCCATGGGCAGCTGTCAAAGTAAAACCACCAGAACCTTGTAGAAACCACAGGTGTAGGTAAGCCCCGGCTTCCTACAATCAGGACTCAGCCTTGGGATGAGAATCTGCTGAGTCTGCACCGATGCAACAATTCTGCTTCTTGTTAGCACTTAAGTTGTCTTAAGTTTCCTTTGGTGCCATATAACAATACTAAAGGAGATGAGTTCCTTTTGATAACTTCCCTGTCCAAAATCTGTTTTCAGAAGAGACTCTTAAGTCATCTACTATAAATAATAACATATTAAGAAAGTTTAAAAGTTATTAGCTCAGTGATAGCTTCTATTGGTTCTTCTTATCTATTAACAATAGAGAAAGACTTAGGTTAATGTTGATTGATGCTAGGCACTATGTTCTAGGAGATATATAAAAAGAAGGGTAGCCTAACTGAGGTTGCAGAAATTATACCAGGAGGGTGGTATCTCTTTCATTTGCCAAGTTGGACAACAAGGGGGAAAGGGAAAAAGGTCAGAGAGGGAAAATGTCTGTGCCAAAGGCACAGGTGGAGCTCCATGCAGTAAGTAGAACACCTGCGAGGCTGTGCAGGCAGTGCTCTGGGGAAGAAACCGCACTGAGTGGTGAGTGATGTGTGACAGGAATTAGATGATGCAGGAATTAGATGGTGCGGGTGACAAATAAGGAAGAGGCAAAAGCTTCTGTTCTGGCTTGTCTTTTCTACATGAAACATCATTACTTTTTAAACCTTTCATCCTCCCCACCCCCACCCTCAACTTGAGAGAAGGATCTGAGTGAAAAGCTGGGAGATCTTGGGGGAAGCGGGAAGTCAAAGAAGAGCGGTTGGGGTGGGGGGAACCCACAAAAATCTGTTTAATCCCTTT